AAAAAAGCCATAGAAGAGGATATTTGCAATCAATTAACTCAATGCCCTGACTACATTTCTTGTGGGCCTGCGTAAGAGCTCACCACTCCATGAAGTTCAGTTTGAATGAGACAGCAATGATGTCTTCAAGTAGCTGGGCCACAGGGAAACCAAACCAAATTGTATAGGCTTTAGCCAAGAGGACACTCCAACCTCACCAGCAAGCTGAGCAGAGTTCGCAGAATAAAACTGCTCTACTCCCACATTCACCAAAACAAGCAAATAAGAAGCACTATGAGACAGATTAAGAGCAGCAGCTATAATTCTTAAACAAAGAAAGCTCCAGCAGTGCAAATTCTACAGTATGAGCAAGACAACTTGCAAGATTTCATGCCTACAAATAGTGGCCCTAAATTATACTGCCTGAATTCCTTCCAACATTTGCCTGAGGAGTTATCCTATGTAGCTGTACAGAGGAGGGTCTGTAAAAAAAGTAAAAGTACTGAACAAGGAAAATTTAGCAGTTCAAGACCATTTTCAATTTCCTTTTCTTATAGTAGATGCTGATAAGGCAAATTGGAACAACTAGTGTCTCTCTTACCTCATTATTGATGAAACAGTAGAGAATTGCAACCATCAGCCCCTGAAATCAACAAAACACAGAAAAGCAGTGAGTAGAGCAGTTCCCCCACTTTTCCAGAAAATACTTGCAAAGGGCTAGAGGCTCCACACTGGCATGTCCCATGGTGAGAGAAAAAACAAGAGTGAGACAATCTGTGGTCCCCAACTGCTCTGATGGCAGAAGAGAGGTTTGACCAAACTATGTCTCAAAGCACATGATCTTAGGGAAAAGGAGTTACTGTTTTCTTCAATCTATTATTTTTTTTCCTAAAGATTCCTTTCCCTTTATTTTTCTTTACCTGATTTCTAGTTATAAACACTTCATAAGTGAACAATTCACAGTGATCTTAAATACAGCTCAGTACCTGATAAACAGGGAATGAGTGGGTGAGCAGAAGAATAATGATTCTGTTAGACAAGGAGACTTGAAACGGCCTTACCTGAGGCAACAGCTAAATAAAAACCTCAGTCAACCTACATCCTCCTCCCATGCAGTTACAGCTATAGACAGCTACCTATCACAGTACAGATTTTCCAAGGAGTATCAAAAACACCGGAGAAAGCACAAAATTTGCTTTCAGCAATGCCATTATACAATTACAGGAAATCAGAGACAATTTCATTTTTGCCTTCAGATGTCCCATAGGAAGTAAATATTAATATGTGGATAGGATTACCAGTTTATTGTGGTAAATTTAAGACATTGGAAATAAGAATATGTGACACTAACATCTAAGCTAGCTATTAAAAATTAGCCCTCATACTTTCCCTTCCTCTGTCATAATCCTGTAATATCCAGTGCTAAATTAAGAAATATAAAGAACAGAGAACATGCAATAAATAAGAGAGAAAGCAGGTCCCCAAACAGCAGTTAAAAAATATCTTATCCACATGGGCACAGTGAGAGTGCTACCTGGAAAGAAGCAAAGGAGAGTTCAGTAAAAAGCTTCACAAAGCGCAGCATCCCTCTGGCATGCTCGTCAGTAATAAAGGCAAAGATGACCTCATGGGTCCCCAGCAGCGGGATCAGAGTCAACGTAGACTTGGCCAGCCTAAGATGACAAAGAAAAAAAACAACGCCACTGAGTAGATCATTGCTGATCCCAGTGATCACAGGGAGTCACTGTTTCTGCATTCTGCTTCTGACATACTGTCACCTTTGGTAAGTCACTGCACCACTTTGTCTCGCAGGGTCCTCCTCCACAGGCTGTGGGTCAAAAAAATAAATAAAAAGCCCCCTCGAAATAACCTTGGTCGGTTTCAATGTGTTTTAACTGCCCCTGCCACTCCACTTCAGACCGCTTGCTGCTGTGAGTAAAGCTGTATTCAGCTCCTGGCTGCATTTCACCTGAAAAATCTTCTTCCAAACTCAGGAGCAGGTCATGTGCTTTCTTGTACCTGAGATATCTTCTTGTGTATCCTTTTCTCCATCTGTAAGTGGGAAAGATGACCAAAACCTACCTTGTTGATGGCCTGAAAAAAAACCACAAACCTATCAATGACTGGAATATTTTAAAAGTATCTTGGCAAAGGGAGGAGTACTTGCTATTCCTTCCTACCTCTGTGGCGTGTTAAATCTTCAAAACATTGTAACTAACCGTAACTGCAGAACACTGTGTAAAAGCAGTTAAACTGTCTTAAAGTGAGTGATGACTCCATGATTTAAATGGCAAGTTCAAAGACTCAGCTAGCAAAGGAAAAAAGACAAACCACCCTGAAATAAAGCATTTTTCACCAGTGAGAGAGCAACGCTCAGGGGTACAACCACAGGATAACATTCACAAGAACGGTCCTTAACTCTCTTTTGACAGACATACATGCTAGCCACCCAACAGGATAATGAAAGATGCCTGAGCCTCAAATGGAAGTTTATAGGGCTATGCTCGGCCACAGAACGTGTCAACATCTCACAACGACCTGCCTTGAGACAATTTAGTACATACAAAATCACTCAACCAGCAGTGTTGTCAGTACTTAGTAGATCTTGCGTGCCCTAGGGCTGTTGGCTGCTATTCTGAATCATGTAATCGTTCAGGTTGGAAGGGACCTCTGGAAGTCTCTGGTCCAACTCCAGTTCACACCTGGTTACTCAGGGCTGTGTCCAGACAAGTTTTGAGTATCTCCAAGGTCCTCCATAACCCCCCCCCGGGACTCCCAGCATCAGACCACTGTCACTGTGGATTTTTTTTTCCACCTCTGACAGGCAATTGGAATTTCTTTTGCTGTAACTTGTGACCTCTGCCCCTTTTCCTTTCACTGTGCACCTCTGAAAAGACTCCAGCTCCATCTTCTGTATGACTACCATTAGGTAGCTGAAGACTGCAGTTAAATCCTTACTTAGTCTTCTGTTCTCTAGACTGAATAAACCCAGTTTTCATGACCTCCTTCTATGTCACCGGGTCCAGCCACTGAACTAGCTTGGTGCAAAACTGATGCAAGTCCTATAGGGTTGGAAGGACAGGACACAATGTCTTTCATATACTGGGGAGCCCCAACCTGAACACCAGAAGCAGTCTCACAAGTGCTGAACAGAGGGGATCAGTCACTTCCCTTGACCTCTGGCTATGCTCATGCTAGTGCAGCCCAGTATACAGCCAGCCTAAGCTGTCACAAGGACCCACTGCTGAATCACGTTCAGCCTCTTGTCCTCCAGCATCCCTGGGTCTTCTGTAAAGTTGCTTTCACTCCAGTCAGCACCCATCCTGTACTGCTCCATGGGATTATTACATACCAAGCGCAAGGCTCCTATCAGCCCGTCCACCAGTGTGCCGATGTCCTTGGTACAAACAGGATCAAGGGATGGTAAATCAAAGCAACTATTTAAACAGTTTACACGTACAGGTAAGCAGAAATGCGTATATCTAGTGGACCTCAGTAGAATGTTGCACTGGGGATAAGGGGCTTGTTTAAACGAATGGCGTACCAACAAGTCTTGCGAGGGAGGCTCTGCTCCACCACGACCTGCCTGAGATTGAGGCAGAAGCATGAAGCTGATGCTGAATTGGCTCCAGAGACACTGCTTGAGTAAAAAAAGGGAGTTGTGTGGTTATACAGCAAAACTCTAGTTTATTTAATGAACGCCAATTGCTCTAGATGGGATACTTGGAGAGCTCTGCATTAAACAGGAAGCCATGCAAAGTCCTATGAAAAGGCTTCCTGGATAATTAAGACTTCTCTAAAGAAAAACCTTTCCCTGAGCAAGGGGAGATGTTTCTCCACAACTCCAGGCTTTCTGCAGAGGAAAGGTATTTGCTGCCATACTGAACAGAGAGCTCTCCATCAACTGAATGGGCAACAGGAGAGAGGCAGAGAAAAAAATGGCCTGAGAGCAAAACACTTTTCTCCTATCCATACACAAACATATCTAAACTAGTGACTTTCTAGGGCACCCAGACTGGTCCTTGTTTAAAAGACTACATTACAATATGGCAGTTCTGTCTTCTCTCAAAATACTTTCCAGTGTTTTTCAGCACACAAAAAAAAAAAAGAGAGAAAAAATCTAATTCAGGAATCTCTGGCTACTGGTCTTATCATCAGAGGCACACCGATGAACTGAACTCTTTGGGTAAAAGACCTCTCCAAAACTTCTGGTTATAACCACCAAGCTCTGGAAGGATGACCAAGACTACAGTCTCTATCAGCGCAGAAGGCTTTGTCACTGGGTACATCCTTTCCTGATAAAGCCTTTCTGTTTACACAGCAGAGTCTTGAAATGAATGAACACGCATCTCTTAGAAAGGGCTCAGCCACATCAAACTTTCCTGCTGCTTGCAGAAGTCAAGAGGGAAGAGCTTTCTCTCTGACAGGGTAAATTTACAGTCAGATTTTTAAATGGCTTCAACCCATCAGAACTTGAAAATACCCCCCTTTCCACCCCTGCAAATTTTATCCTGGAAAATAAAGGTCACATATATTCAAAACAACAGTAGGGATAAAAGTAGAGCCTACAGCTCACTAAAAGGAGTCTTTTTTTCTTCTTTGAGCTCTAAGCACACATTAGGATTTCCAAAATTTCACATGAGGTAAAGAAGGTAGGTAACACACAGGAAAACTCTATACTCTGAGGAGAATACACAAAAATGCATTCTGTCTAGTTTAGAAGGCTGAAGCAGTGGAATATTCAACTTCAAACTAGCCAAGTCAACCATCAGTAGCAGTCTGGCTGCCACAGCGTGTAGCTCCATCCTGGTTAATTCACTCTATTACTAACTTTATTAACTCTATTTCTACATTATTTTTCAGACTGCAATACAGAAATATTCTCCAAGATGCAGAAATGAAGGATGTGACCATGAATCTTAGCAAGGTGATTAAATAACAGGAATAACACACACACAGACAGGGTGAAGCCTGCAAAATAAAAATTGAACACTTCTGTGATAAATCTAACATCTCTCTTGAAGCATTCTATGCATTCAACATTGAAAGTTTTCCACAATAACAATTGGCAAGGAGCAACACCCAAAATGACACCTGTCTTGATCTTCGTTGAAGTTAAAGCTTTTATTTTTATCACTCATATTTTTTCAAGTTATGCGAAGTACTTAAATATGCTGCAAACATTAAAAAAAATACCTGTTTCCTTAACGTTCTTCCAGTATTACGGAAGACTATAAAGTGACCAACTCAGATATCAAGCCTTCTCTTTACCTATAACACAGGTATAACACCTGCTCTGGTTCCACCAGGAGACTACTCTGAGGACTGGCTGTCCAAAAAGTCATACCAATGTGTGACACCGCTCCTGTGCCTTATGCAGGCCCTGTGATCTTTAACCACCTTTGTCAATCCGCTCCTCAGAGGCACAAAAACTGTCAGACCATCAAATGACATACCTGCATTTTATGTCAGTTTTGCACATCAAATTAGCCTGTAGTTTGGAGATGATGATGCATATAACTCTGATAAAGATCAGGAAATTTACCTGGAGAAACAAAAGAAGGATTCATATCATCATCAAGAAACACATGTGCATAAGCGTTCAAAAAAGCTGGTTTGTGCATGCATGTTTAGGTACCTGTGCACCCCACTACTTCGCAGGTGTAGAATTTGCCACAGAATGCAACTCCTTGCTAAGGAATTGTGCTCTAAATACATCCTCTGTGAATACACAAGTCCCCTTTGAGAACACAGGTAGTTTGCTAAACAAGGCAGGGGAGTAAGACATGGTAAAGGTGTGGGCTGTTCCATTTGCCTTGTCTGGAGGTCTGAGACTGCCACAGTATTGTGGCTGCAGAACGTGGCATTTCTCCACAATGCCACACAATTTGTTGCTTTTCTGCAGCCCAGTATCTAGAATGTTATCTTCTGCCTCCCTGTACTACCTGCCGCAGCTTTTCCCACACTGGGGAGTTAACTGGATTGCTGTGGCACGCTCTTTTGTTATCATGTGCCAACACGACAATATGACAGCATGTGGCCAAATCAAACAAACAAAACGCTAGTCAGGAATTCCAGTGACAGAAACCAATTTGCTTCTTAAAATCGCATTTCTGAATGAAAATGTCAATACCCTCAAAGGTTATTAGCCTTTGGACACACACAACAGCCACATGTACGTTTGCTCTTTGTATGTCATGTCCTCTTTCTCATTGAAATCTGCCACCTCATTGCACATGCCCCATACTCACCCCGATGGCGATGAGAATGGGCAGTCTGATGATCAGCCAGTAATTCATATTATAGTTTCTGGTCCAGCAACTAGGCAGAAGGCAAAAAGAGGAATACAAGAATAAAAGGTTTCAGTCCATTATGAAAACCTGCTTTTCGTTCTGTCACAACAATGCAGATGGAAAACAATACTGAAGACTAGATACCAGGAAAGCACATCATGCTGACATGGAAACAGGTGCAGTTGCTTCTTAGAAACACTGAATGCTTTGTACTATTGCAGTTATCATACTCCAGCTGGGTACTACTTGCCTGCCTTTCTTGCCCACTAATGGCTAGGCGTCCTCCACAATTTGCTATGAATGTCCATCAGTTAATTGTGAAGATTTACTCCATTAAAACCAAGGTCAAATTTGTCATGTGGCTGAAAGGAGAAGGGGGACAATCTATTTGAATCAGACCTTTCCTGCATGGTTCCTATCCTATTTATCTGTTATTTTTTATTACTCTCCAGTCTCCAAAGTAATCTTATTATTAACTGTTTGTTAGTTCTTTATCACATTACCTACCATCACTTTTCTCCCATCAATATTTAGATCAGTCATCTCTTATTTGCCCTTATTTTCAAAAAGGACTTACTAATTTCAACCAGGACAAAGCAATTAAGGCAGCAAACTCCAGTTCCTTCAGTGTATATGTACAGGTTTCAGGCCCAAAGGAAGTTTTAGAAGTTATAAGCAAGCAAAATCAAAGATGGGGGTAATAGTTCCAACTTTTATCGGCCAGCTGAGCCTTCTGCCAAGTAAGTAATATGCTGCAGGCAATGTAACACTTCATTCTCCCCATAAGTCTCACTTTAGCTTTTTAAATTCCAGGATCCTTGAGCAATATTGGAGAACAATCACAAGAAACATGATGCCTGAAAGCCAGAGTTTGGGATCTTTGGTCTGAAGTGAACTTTATACGGGGGGATTTGTACATCTAGTTCTTCTGGGTCCCACCCTGGCCACAGCCAGCCACCCCTGACTGTAAGACAGGCCACGTGTGTGCATGATGGCCCAGGTGTCAAGGCTGCGTTTGTTTACCACTTCACTTGTTGCTGCAGTGACATCAGTCTCAATATTTCCATGAAATAACTTTGTTAGCCTCCTGCCATATTGCGCAGCATTACTCAAAAGCAACAGTCATCAGGAAGGCCAGCAGATTTCTGAGCTACATAGGCTGTGAAACATAAACTATGAAACAGCACTACAGAAAACACAGGTTGCTTCACAAAACATGTTTCTCTTTGTTTCCAAATCCCATCTGCTAAAACATATACGTGTTCAATTTCCCTTAAATTTTAACAGTCCTATGAAACTTGAGCTTGGGTGACGCTAGTGAAGAGTAAGCCCTCCCCAGCCTTGTAATGGGACAGTCAACTTGAGAGAAACCAGCAAACAGTGCGGCATGTGGTAGGGGTCCATGCTACAACGATGTGCTCACATACTAGAGAGGAAAGTGAAGCAGCTCGGCTGTGGCAATTCCATGCTCCTTTGTTGGTACTGCACACCTGAGAAGGGCTCAGGATTTCATTTTTCCTTTCAGTTTCAATTTAATGCATATAACAAGCACATTATTGCAACCAGCAGCTCCACAACGTACACTTGAATTGCGTTTTCAGTACTGGAGAAAAAAGGTGTACGCATTGTGTGCAGTCAGTGTACTTGAGCTGGAATCTGAGTAACAGAAGAACTTCTTAATTGGTACGTGTGACTGGAAGCTGGCTTCATGGAGCCTTTAAAATTAATTTTATTTGAACCCCTCGTGACCAATGAGATAATAGGCATGGCTAGAAGTGGAGCTCTAATTTTCTGACTAGCTGCAGTGGAAGCAGAGGCAATTTTAAAATTTCCTGATAATGACGCAGGCTGAGAAATGATTCTTTACATTAACTCTGCTACATTTCTGTGTGTATTAATTTGCTTCCTGTGTCACAGAGCAGTTTTAGCTACTTTTAAATTTATACAAATATGTGCAATAAAAATGCCATTACAGCCCTACTAAAGTGTCACAGCTATTAAAGTGTCCAGAAAATAAAATTGATAGATCCGTACATGATTTCTTGTCCATTTGTGTCTTCTGGGATTGCCACATTGATAAATACATCAACATCTACTGTGTTCAGGATCTATCACTGCAGTTTGCTCAGCACCACTCAGAAGATGCTTGGCAACTAATAGCATCTGAGCCATGAATGGAGAATTGGTCCAGTGAAACAAATGCTACTTGGAAGTTTTCGCCTTTGCTTACTAATCTAGTATTCTTTTTCTAAAAATGAAAACACTGAATTTTTACCCTGAAGAGGTACAGCTGAATGGCTCCATTTTTTAAAGAGTTTGTGGGCTGGCTGTCTTGCTCCCATAATTAATTACAGATAGAAACACAGATGTGCAAGTATTGGCTCTTTAGGCACAGTCTAATAACGAAGAAGTATAGTTTGCCTTTGATTTTATTTATAATCCAGACAAAATCTCTCCCAATAGCTCACTTCCTAGAACAGCAACTGCTTTGTAAAGGAGTTTACACTTGCACATATAAGACTTGCAGGCTTCAGTCCTTCATTCAAATGGCTACGTTCACAGGACTGCCTCAACCCTGCCCTGACCACGTTTACTTCCAGTTGTTCCTCATAGCCAGGGAAGTAGCTAAGTCACAAATGAAATTTACAGCTCGCTGCACATCCCTGGTGACAGCGCTATGGCAAACAGCATGAAAGATATCCCTGGCTGCTCCAGCAAATGCCCGCCCAAGGCACAGAAATCTCGCCTTTCAGAGAAGCTGCTGCACGTGGTTATTTATTGCTGTATTTTACAAATATTTATACAAGATTTAGAAAATTCAATAAGGTGCAAAATTGCCCCTTTTAAGGTCTGCTGAAGGCAGTGAGTGACAGTTTTCCTTAATAGAAAACATAAATCAGCTTTGAGCATCGCATAATGTAGGAGGCTCAGCATGAGCACTTTGAATACATTTTCTACATCAATGGGAAGATATGTCCGTGGAACGTCTACTGTTCAGAGGCTGCATGTTCTCTATACCTATTCTGGTAATTTCAACAAAACGTGTAATACATCAGTACGGCCACAATCGTGCTACAGAATATTACCAAGTCAACCTTGAAAAAGAAAGTCAGAAAATTCTAGCACTGCTTAAGCCAGAAAAGGCAGTTTTGACTGAAGTGGTTTAGTACTATGAAAGAAAGACATTAAAAAAAACCCTGATTCTTAATATTCATGAACATCTGAGAAAAGTCTGGGGGTAGCTCTGACTATATTGAATTTTCACATTGCAGCACCTCTCCAGGAAGCGTTGTGTTTGGAGGGAGCCAAAAAAAAAAAAGGTGGGGGGACCTTCTACAAAAGTGCTGATTGGGTTGTTTGGAAACTAAGAGGAAGACCCAATAAATAGCATATTTAGAATAAAAAGGAAATAGCATGAAGTTATTTATTTCACCACAAAAGAAAGATACCCAAATATTTCCAGGCAGTCACTGTCACTAAGAAGAGGAAGCCACTATCCTACCTCTTTTTTTTTTTAAAAAAACAAACCAAAACAAAAAAAAACCCAAAACAAACAACAAACTACAATGCTATTTGGTACCTAAAGCATATATAGAGGCAATTTTTTCAGAACCGCCACTATGGTAAAAGTGGACGAAAAGTATTTTTTGTTTTGCAGCAGTCTTGTGTGTGGTATAGTTGACTAGAGCAAGACTAATGTAAGTGGACAGAGAATGTGCCTTTATTTTAAGAAGATCTAAATAATGGAAGCTTAAATAAGAACAGGCAATCATATCTCTGCTCCTAGGCATAAGCTAACCACTACAAATCGCAGGCAGAATCCTGTGGGAGGTTTTTGCCTTCCTCTGAAGCTTAACTGTAAAGGCTACTGCCAAAGGCATGGTATCAAGAGTGGTCTTGGTTGGGTATGATGACTTTTTCTGTTGATACTGTAACTACAGAAAAACAAAACATACCTTTCCTTGACCTGCAAAAGGATAGATTCATTCAGACATGCAGAAAATTCTCATCAGAAAGAAACATATGCTCCTTTCTGAAACGTTATGCAAGACCTTCAGACGAAACAGAAGCAATTATGTGAGGTTTCAGCACATTGCCAAAGCAAACCACGCCGAACAGAAAGCAAACAATGACCTGCCGGTGCACACATACAGCACAAATGAGATAGCTAGGAAAAATCAGAACTAAACCAACCCCTCATCTTCATAAAGGTACTTGACAGTTCCCCAGAGGATAACAAACAGCATTGGTACACCTGGGAAGAGAGGAGACAAGGTTGACACTGACATTAAGAGACAGGGAAAAGCAGAGAGAAGGATAAAACCCCCACATAATGATGAGCAACATAATTAACTGGTGGCAGGGTTGCAGCTCCTAGCCAGCGCAGATGGCTGTCAACGGTCGGAGGGGGAATCTAGCCTGCAAGTAACTAATACACGTAACCCATTTTGCCTGGGCCCCCGTTTAGCTCCTAACAGGCATGAAAAACGAACAACAGACCATTACCTCCATACTCAGCATATACCAGCTTTTCCATGGGAAGTTTCACAGAGGGGCCAAGGGAACGAAATGTCTTGTGGCCTCTCTATTCACGTTAGAGAGGAGCGCAGTGCGCTCCGATCCAAACCTTTGCATCCACGTTTCTGCCTGTGGGTCAGCTACACTGTACTCAGGCAGCACCAAGTTCAGGCTGTCTATAGGCACCAGGGCTGGAGAACACTCAGCCCCACGTACCCTTGATGGTGAAAGGGAGTGTGGGCACACAACACGGAGCAAGCATGCTCAGGCCTCCCCTGCAAAGATGTCCCAAGTTTGAGCTGCGGTACTGGCATGGACCTTAGGGCTGGCGGCAAAGACAGCAGATGCATCTGGTCTTGAGAAGAGGCTTGGTCCTACGCTTACCTGACCATGCGCGTGCTACAGTTGGTCAGTTTGACTGGGGTGTAGAAGGAAGAGAGAAAAGCCAAATAAGCTGGTAGTCATTACTTGCTTTACAATGTCAAAGGCTCTCAAATCAATTTCTTCCATTTAGGAAATGTCTAGGTCTTGAAAAATAATTTTAAAGTGCATCTATCAACCAATGCACAGTACAGGGAATGCCAAAAAAGTCCACAAGGAAAGAGAATAGATTGAGTCCTACTCAACGAGTAGGATGAGGAATTTCTGCCTAAGGATGGATCAAGACGGTCTGCAATTCCTCTGTGCATCCCCTTGGACTGATGCTGTATGTAAATTGTATAGGAAGGGCAACACAACGTGCTTTGTTACTGCATTCTTAAGAACCAACATGGTAAGGGACCATAAGAACATCAGTTTGCAGCAGTAAGCACTGCACAAGGCAAATACACAGCTCCAGACAGCAGAAGCTACAGTGAAATCAGTGATTTCTTACAGTCTGAAAAATCTACAAGCAGTATCTGCAGCAGGTATTATCAGTAAAAACCTTCTTTCATGTTGCACTGTATTTTTTTCTCTATTATCAGAACACCTAAATACTACTAACAAAAGACCAATTATTCTCCTTATTCAGTTAAAAAAGGAGAGAATAAAGAGCAGCAAGAAAAAAAAAATAATTAGAATAATAGCAAAGATAATTAATTGCATAGAGATTACTGGGGCAAGTGGTTGAACATGTTCCATGGGTGTACCTGATACTTAAGAGTATACAATATTTTCAGAGGAAAGTTACTGAAAACTCCGTGCTGCTTTGATAGTGCACAAGAGATTAAGAATAGGCTGATTGCAAATCACTTTAAAACACAAATGAGCCTTTGATTCATAAAAACTAATTATAGCTTATATTATTCCTTTCTTGACTTTGCTGACAGTTAAGACATCTTAATACGAAACTTACAGGATAAGACATGAACACCGAGAGCACAAAGGCTGTGTGTCAGTGGAGGGAAATGATATATCGAGTGATAACTATAATGATTTATGGGTATCTCCATCTTCTGGATACATCAGAAATCTCTCCATATTTAATTGCATTACTTGCCATTTGAATTGAGAAGCTATTATTAACATTATATCTCAAAAGAGCCTAGCTAGAGAGAGGCTGGTGTTATTGAACTGCACCAGCATCCTGCTACACAAATATTATACAAATTAATAGGCAGCATGTTCAAGGTGACTTGTTCAACATCCTCTGCCCACTCCCACTTGTGACGCAGGCCCCTGGAGCCTTGGTGTTGCAACACCACCAGTTGCATTACAGTCCATGCTAGCAATACACATTTTAATCTGAGACACTAAGACTGAACAACGCAATACATACATGTAAGCATTTGCACTGGTGTTCAAAGCTACGTGGATACTTTCTGACACCTACCAAATTCACAAAGTCCTGTCCTAAGAAATGGGTGGCTCTGAAAACTGTCGACAACACGCTCTCAGCAGATGGGATTGCATCCAGTTTTCCAAAGCCCTACTCAAGATCTAAAGAGGAGAAAGAGAAGACTGCCCCAAGAACATTCCCTAATCCACTTAAAGTCTGTAGAAGTCGTTCACAACAGCAAAAGAGCAAGCCTGCTGCATCTTTGCAATAATTGTAGTTTGCAAAGATCACTGAGGCTTCAACATTTACAATCTTGATACCTAATTAACCTGCATTAACTGGCACAAATGCAAATAACATTCTAGTTACTTCACTCAGTGAAGAGAAATTTGGCTGGTTTGAGAAGGCAGTGGAAGCAATCTATATACAGCTCCTTGAATAAACTCTACAGATGACTATTGTTCATTAACGGAATCAGCATTGTATTCCAGTCCTGGGCTCCCAACACACAGCTCTTTTGTTGCATTTGCGTTTTAGTCCTACACCTCTTCCTCTTGCTGCTGCTATTTAAAGAATATCAGATATCTGAGAAAAAAACACACTCATTTATAGGATGCACTTATTTAAGGTACAGGCTGAATTCTTTCAGGTTTTGCTTTTTGCAATACAGAAAACTGAGATCGATATTTTCCCAGATTAACTGACTACAGAAAGGTCTCTGAATTCTGGAAATGGTAACATCTACTTTTGTCTGTACTGCATCACTGCTGAAGATGCCAGAGACTGCAACAGCCTGCTCATAATAGCCTCTGCCGTGTTATTTCTTGCAGGCTGATAACTGAACAAAAATCTTTGAATGCTACATAGTGATTATGAAATCTGTCAAGTGTACTAGGAAACAAGCATGCCGACAGCTCAGCTAATAAAGTTCGACTTTAAATGACAGAGGACAGGTCACCTGAATTATAGGCTGCAATAATAATATGTATTATAGATGATGAAAAAGTAATGGAACTGCCAAATCAACCTCTTAACGCCCCACTGCATAAATAAGCAGCACGACCTACTTATTTTCACCCTAGCTTACGTATTCTACACCTGGCCAGGTGTCTGCATAGTAAGAAAAAGAAAAAAGTTGGAAAACCAGGCATTATCCAGAATGATAATAGGGTGGGGCAGGCAAGAGAAGAAAGCTGTGAGAAATTCTGGACAGGAACCACCGTTCGGTTGACATTTTCTTTCTGTAAAGAATTTCCTTACAGAGAGGGTTGTGAAGTATTGGAACAGGCTGCCCAGGGAGGTGGTGGAGTCCCCAATCCCTGGAGGTGTTTAAAAACCGTGTGGATTTGGTGTTGAGCAACATGGTTTAGGGACCCTGACAGTGCAGGGTGAATGGTTGGACTCGATCTTGAAGGTCTCTTCCAACCAGACGACGATTCTATGATTCACAGTGCTCCACTGTCCCTAATAAGCAGAGAGGACGGCAATTCGTATTGCTGCTAAGGGAAGCTACCATGTCCTGGTAATAGCATGCAGAAATCAGTCTCTCCGTTTAATGAGTCTGAGATATTTCGGTAACAGAACATAACAGCCCAGGCTTGTTCTGGAGTTCACGAAGTAGCAGTTACCACGAAAGGTGGTTATCACCACCAGGTGGCGATATTCTATACCGCCTGTCCTTCTTCCCCTTATCTCCATGTGCAAGCAAGTTTTCATTCTTACAGACACACGATATTTCTAGCTTTGCATTGTAGACAAAGGCAATTTCAGGGGACAAAGATGTATGAGGAGCAAGAGAGGCTCCCCTCATCATCAAAAGCAGATGACATTATTCCTGAAGAGAATGTGTCTCTGTAGGACCCATGCACTGCCATCCTGCTGATACCCTTATATATGGACGTAGTCTGAATACAGCATTTTAGGACTGATGAGTTTGTGTACAAGCTCATATTTCAGATGTAACCCGAAATCACTGTTTTGCATGTGGTAAGAGGTCCAACCTCCAAGACAATCAGGCACACAAACTAGAAGGACACCTCTGCTGTCAGAACTTCAGTTCTCCTCTTTCTCTCAGAAACCATCCAGGATGTTCTGACTTGATCAACTGCTTGACATATGAACAAAAGAAGTATGTGATGAGGAACTGAAAGAAGAAAAACAAATATAATTAGATGCAGAAAGAGTAAGAGCACAGAAGACGTGAGAAAAGATGAAATGTTTTTCTTTCTAAAAAGAAAAAAAGCAGGAAAGAGTTTAATCCAGAAGACAAAGAGTGAAGAGAATTTAGAGAAACTCCTGACAGATGCATTTCCTACCAAGATTGGTCTGGGCACAAAAATCTGTTTTCACATCCTTGTCCGAAACAGTTTTCATTTGAAAACAGACAAGAAGTGGTTAGTGCAGTGAATGCACCCTGTTGCTATACTGAGCTCATACTGGGCCTTCAGAAGGAAGGTTTCTTACTGGCTCTATTCCAGTCAGACCTTCCTTGCAATCAAGATGCAGATTTTGACACCCTAGCCAGGCTTCCTGCTTTTTATAGCTTCATTCCCTTAAAGTGTTCTTCCTTAGAGTAAGTTTGGATTGCCAAGGCTTAGAAGGAAGGGAATTATTTTTTATAGCCGTTTCCCTGCTGCAAGTGCAGCTGGGTGTAAAATTGCCACAGAAGCTCAGAGAATGTTTAGCTTTTTATTAACATTTTCTTCTTAGCCTTTAGTGCTGAAAATTGTCTCCTCCTGTCATTCTTCCCACCTGGACGCCGCACACAGTCACTGTGGGATGTTGCTGTTGTTTCCTCATTCCTTCCTCCTCCTCACTTCTGAATGTGAAGAGGTCCTTTTTCCACTAGCTGCTGAGAGATGCATACAGCAGCATTACCGTCTTCTCCAGAGACTACTGTGTACAGCACTGACACAGCTGCCAGAAGTCAATGTCAAGTTCAGCGACTCTTTACTTGGGCTCAGACACAGCAAGCAGTGAGTTGGTGTCCCCAACACCCTGATTAAAAGCAGTCTGCATATCCCAAGAAACAAACAAAACAAAAAAGTAATCATAGAATGGTCAGGGTTGGAAGGGACATCAAAGATCATCTAGTTCCAACCCCCTGCCATGGGCAGGGAAATCCTCCACTACACCAGCTTGCTCAAAGCCTCATCCATCCCGGCCTTGAACACCGCCAGGGATGGGGCATCTACAACTTCTCTGGGCAACATGTTCCAGTGCCTCACCACCCTCAGAGTGAAGAATTTCTTCCTTATATCCAATCTAAATCTGTCCTCTTTCAGTTTAAAGCCCTTGCCCCTTGTCCTATCACTACACGCACTCGTAAAAAGTCCCTCTCCAGCTTTCCTGTAGGCCCCCTTTAAGTACTGGAAGGCTGCAAAAAGATCGCCTCAGAGCCTTTTCTTCTCCAGGCTGAACAGGCTAATCAGCTTGACCTCTGCAGTTACATTGTTTTCCTTCCTCTCCTCCTGCAAATGGTTTGTTCTCTCTAGAAGATGAGACCTGTGGTCAAGGGATTTCTCTTACACCAGAGGAAGGAAGCACTGGGCACCAGACACATATAGCAGCAGCTTTTTTTTTTCTGCAAGTGATAACAACTATCTGAATCAACATCCTGTTTAGCTGCTGTCGTGCTGACCTCCAGACTGAAGGGAACAACTCACCTACCTGCTCTGCCATTAGCCTATTAAGAATTTTGTTTGTTGCTGCTGTTAGTGTTTCTGTTCCCTCTCCATCAGCTTTGAAAATGGCATAAACCATTGTTTTTCCAGTGAGGTACAAAGAACTCGGGGTTGACACAAATGTACGAAACTCTGCTTTTACAAAGAAAAAGAAGACATTAGCAACATGTTTTCCACATTAAATGAATTAGGAAAAATTTAACACTGCCATCTCAAAGCCTAGTATGGCATGAAATCGCAGCAAGGAAGTAATTACATTACAGGAATACAGTTACCTCACAAATAATCAGGAAGGTTTACAGAATCCTATCAATATACATGATGTCCATATAAATGGCTCCCAATTAGTAAAACTACATTAGTTTCCTTAGGTCTATCAAGATTTTATAACATTTCTAGCTTTTGCAAAGTACAATAATATGAGATAAACAGATTTTTCCCTTATAAAAAACTTCATCAGCAAAGAATAACTACTCATTTGAACTGATACTAAACGGAGGACCATCTAATAACAACTGATCTGAAATTATCACATAGCAAAAACGTATTTCAGAAACATTTATTTATTTTTCTTGACACTCTTCACTGGCTGCTAACTGTTCCTAGGAGACACAGACTAAGTATGGTATCTTTTACATGTTTCTATTTGAAAAGCAGGTTTACCCTTTCCATATTTTGAATTGAGATGAAATAATCATGTTAGATATAAAATAGGAGAAGTACTTTTTTTTTTTATTTACACAGTTATGTAGACTTCTTCCCCTGTTATAATAAAATACAGGACTATTTAATATAGCACTTTAAAAGCTTGGAGAGCAATAAGTATCAGGACATATCTACCTATTTTAAAGGCTGGGCTTTACATTACAGCTTTGCCTGGGATTACCTGAGGAAATAATTTGCTTTAGTTTCTTGTTTGTTCTGAGACCTGTTGTTCCTCGAAAGAAGTACAACAGGGCAAACATCATGACCAACAGTATATGCAAACACTCAGGTGGGCAAAAACCTTGAAGAGAATACACAGTTTTATTCATATGTACATTTGAGAGAAGTACAAGTGCAAACATATGTGAACATGAGGGATTGCAGAAGCTTTCAGGCATCAAAAACAATACCATATGGTCTGTGAGTGATCACAAGGTGCAGTTATAATTAGAAGAAATAACAACATGATATAACTAACAGCCACTAAGTTTGTGAATAATGCACATACGAAATTTTAAAACATAAATATTCATCAAATGATGAGTAGTGAACAAGTTAAAAAATTACCCTGTAAGAGGACAATTCATTAACAGGTCAGGGTATCAGATCAGCTCTGACAATTAAATAGATATTTTTTTTTTTTGATCCTGCTTTATTTTTACAGTTGATCAACTATTTCAAAGAGCAGGACTCTCTCAGCTCCAACAGGAATCTATTGGTTCTCTAAAGCCTCAGCATCATGCTGAGGATATCAGGCTGCTCAAAAAAAACCCAAAAAAACTTCCAAGCATTGCATATAGTAGAAAGGCAACTGGTAAGGGACCTGAGCGCCCAAAAACTGGATTCTCCAGTGAAGAAGCAAGAAAGAGTGGCAGAAATCTTTGTATGTTTCTACTTGTTAGAGACAAAGCTTATCTACTATAACTAATCTGGGAGCACTGAAATAGCAGATGCTTCTGCACTTAAAGATGGAGAATCATTGTCAAGGTTTGCACGTGCACCCATGACTGGAATAGCAAGAAACTGTACAGATGTTTCTAGGAAGCTTGGATGAAACTCATATATCCAAGTGCCAAGTTCTGACATTGTCACTCATTTCCACAAACTCATCCAGAAATTCAATATACTGTAGCAAAACTTCCATTGTAAAGGAAGAACAGAACCAAAATAGTGTCTTCTGTTTCTGCCTTCACAAGAGACAAACTCTAACTAGAAGTGATTCAGATCAAAACTATCTTAGCCCTTAACTTATAGAACACCACAATACCCTCAGGATTTGGCTAGATATAATTTTGCTCTAATTTCTTTTTCATTTCCTCTCATGACCTCAGTCAGTGCTTCAGGATAGCTCCCCCATCTTTTTTTTTTTTTTTAATTGAGCATATGGCTATTCATAAAATATGACTAAAATATACACAGTTCAAATGTTACACAAGATCTGTTGCTTTCGCTGCATATCCTGTATAAAACAATAATGGAAGATACAGAATTATTTAACTAAAACTCTCCAGCAGGAAAATACTATTACTTGCATTTATTTATTCCCATCAATATGCCAGAAAGCCTTTGCTCCTCATATATTGCTGATCAGTAGAACTGAGTAATTCACAGTAAGCCATTTATATGCATTTCACCAGTGAACTAATTTGCTAGAATATTCACAGTTGGCAAATTCAGAGAGAGAAGGACAGTCAAAGCAATTTAAATGTTCAAACTAGTATCTGCTTGTGCCACATGCAGTTAACACATCTTTGAATGCAACAGGAAACTTTTCAGGAGGTGAAGCAGGGCAGTCCAGGAAACTCCACACTCACCTGGAATCACCCACACATTTTGTATTGGGAAGCTGATGCCTTGCAGTTAAAGTACCATCGATTTGAGGAGTTTCTGTGGCATTGCCAGCCCCTGCGTTATGAACCCACAGCCTCTATGCCGTGAGCATCCAGGAGCTGTGCCAGCCCAGCACCTCCAGCTCGAACAAGGTAAGGGATTGGGAACAAAAAGGGAATGGAGAGTGCAGGATTTTGAACGGGGCAGCACTACAATAAACACACAATGGTTTTTCCTCTTATACCACCTGCCGGTGCACGCAGCCACAGGTGGACATACGGAAAGATCAACTTACCCCAGCCAATGCAGAGATAAAGCCGAAAAATCCTCTGCTCAGAGAAGACTGAAAGTACCAGCAGCGTGTACAGGTACATGCCTTCCACCAGCAACCAGTAGTAGTTTGCAGCCACGCAATACTGCATCATTACAAAGACCAAGCGACAGCTGAGTGATTCCTGTGACAGAAGGAAGCACAGCCCAAATGAATGCAACAGGGGCCGAGAATAAAAGGATACTAACCCAAGAGAGTGGGTCCTCTTTCCCATTCTCACTCCTCAAAACCACGCTTGCTAAATTAATCACATTTGAGTACTGGAGGGACAGAAGCCAGTAATAGGTGATAGTATACAAAGCACAGATGCTTTCAACAACGTTCCTCCTTTAAAAAAATATTTAAAAACTACATGTTCTGCATTTTCCCTTGATAAGCAATGGGCTGTAATTTGAAAAGCACAACATAAAGACAAAAAGAAGAGCAAGTGAAAGGTTCTGTATCAACTGCAGTCAGTGAATCTTTTCACTTCCCCAGATATTCTACTCTGCAGCTGAGAATTCCTCTATTAAAGAGCAAAGAGTGGATGCCATAATGTTGACTATTTTCCAAAGCAAAAAATTTTTGCTAGAATAGCAATATTGCCCAGTGCACATTTTAGTGCAAAATGTCTCTTAGCTGGTAAATTACAAAGAGGTGGCCAGCAGGGCTTTAGATAATTATGAAACCTGATTACCTAATTAGTATATCCATCTGATCTGCTGAAACCACTATTGGATAAACTATGTGTGAAAACATAAAGCCTAGGGTTTTTTGGAAGGAGGGAATGACTGACAATCCAATCATTTCTGAAACATTTAAGATATGGATTACAATGTTATTTTCTGTCAATTGATACATTGCAGGTAAGAAGAAATCAACCATCATAGAGGATTTACTATGTGGTATTAGTGCTGAAGCCTTAGGTAGAGTGTCAGAAGAGGATGGGTACTAAACATGCATTAGAAGACATACCTTTCACGACCCCATCCTCGTATTGCAGCAGCAAACGCTGTACCCATGTTCTAGAATCACAAGAGCTACACAGATCATGAAAATCCCTTTCTTTGAAGATTCAAGTACATTTTGTATTCAAAAATCTGAAGGAGGAAAGTCATGCTTTCATCCTTTTCACAAGAGAGCAGTATCCCTTCAATTAGAAGTATTTAATTAGCCTGTTCCTCCAAAGCTTTTCTAAATGCTTTCAAATTTGCATTTTAATCAGATGCTTCCCTTTTTTTCATCATCAACAGACTATAAAGATCTCCAAGAACGACCAACTAATTAGGTCATTATACAAGGTGGACAGTCCTGTCACAAAAGGTGCTGGCTTAGGGAAATGAATGCCCTCTTGTCATTACTACAAGAAATGAACCTACAGCATGGTAAGAAGATGTGGGCGTTTGTACATATATCTATATATAAAATCCATCTCTTAATGTTTCCTCTGTCTAGTAGGGGCAAACTTCCCATAGGCAGATAAACTTGCCACAGCATCAGCTACTTGCCTGTACAAAGCCCTGGCTTGCACAACCTCAACCGCATGCATTGTGCTACAAGTTTCAGAGAAACTGTGGACTGAAGAACAGCATTTTGTATGACCCTCGTTGTACAAAATGAAATTACCTACTGTCATGCAGACACACCACGGTGATGACTCCAGTATCCTGAGAACCACCACAGTGTCTGCCCTTACCTGGAAGGAGATAAGTCCTTCCCACTGGTGCTCTTGCGTGGCTGTGCTGTACATCCACTTCACCACTGAGTCTTTAATGAAGACAGATATAGCCCGGAGGATAAAAGAGGTGAAGAGGTTCAGGTGAATATAATTTCTCGTGCAATGCAGATGTCTGTAAAAAGGAAGAACCAGTCACAATCCACTACCTGTGTAAAAGCTGCAACATCACGCATAGAACTGAGGGAGGGAACAATGAACCCTGTTGGAAATCAAGAGGTACCAGAGAAAAATCCCGTAACTTGAGAATGATTGTAGGGATTTCAAACTGTATTTGGGAAGAAATCACTGTCAAGGAAGAGACATGCAAAACTTCAGCCCTAAGCGTGAATGTTTGGGGGAAGGAAGGAGATCAGTGCATAAGAAAAAATAGTTTAGGAGTTTAAAAATCTGAAAATTAATTAGCTTTCAGAGGACATATCTGAAAGGACTAAAAAAAGTCAAGTTTCACATAATGCTGAATCTAATCTCTTTGAATTGACGCCAGGGTGACTGCACAGGTTTACCTTGGCAAGGCTCAAGAACTGGTGTGCAGTACCAGTTTCTGGCTGTGCCCAAACCCACAATGAAAAAAAGATCCTCCTGTAAATTAGCGCTTTGACAATAAGAGAAAAATCTGTATTCAAATTGCCTCTCGGGGGAATTGTAAATACTTTGTGTAGAACTAAAAGGAAAAGAATTTTCACCTCTGTATTCAGAATTGAAAACAAAACAAAACAAAAAAACACACGAAGAAAAAAGTCCTCTTGAATTTCAGCAGTCAGCTGCAAAGACAGTAAAATTGCTACTTGTCAAAAAAGAGCATGTGAAGGGATAACAAAAGAAACTGCAGTCATGTAAATGGCATCCAACTGCAGAGCACTGCCAAAGTTTTACCAGTCTTATCCACAAACATTTTTCTTCCAGCACTGCAAAGTTACATGCTTTGCTTTAAAGGAAGTTACACTGGCTATGATTCTTTCTTGATGCTAAAAGACAGAGGTAACATGATAAACAGCAATTGTCCAGCAACAGTTTCAGTGAACTTATGTTTCAAACATCTATTTTTTTTTCTGCTTTATAAATTTGGGTAGAAAAATAGGCTTGGTCTGAAAGTTATCAGTTTTGCATCAAAGAGAACTTCTATTTCACAGGTCAAATAGGAATTTTTGCATCACTTAAGTTGCGGCTTATTTCAAAACTTATCTATGATTAATGTTTATTTTCCTTTAACTGAAAATTTATTTGTTGCTACCCTTCAGAACTGCTACACATTTAAATTTGATTGAAAAAATTATGTAAATTAGCCAATTGAAGAAAATAGGTTGCAAGTAGTTACTATTTCTGCTACAAGCAATGCAAGTTATTCAAATTGTTTCAGGCATGAAGTTACGGACCCAATTCAGTTTCCATCACTGAAATTTAAGACTTTTCTTCAATTTCTTTCAGAGGATGCAAAATCTGACACTAGAGACATATTTCCTCTGTTGTATCATTATTAAAGACAAATATAAAGGTTATTCTGTAGTCTAAAAACTTTAAAGGTCTTCCTATTACAAAAGTGGGGAACATCAGCATTTTGGTGCCACTGAATTAGATTTCAATCCCCGTTTGTTGAGGTTGCATAGCTACTGGGGAGAGGCCACAAGCAGAGGTTTCCAGTCAGAATCCAGCAACTGCAATCCACATAGAGGTAGATCTCATGTATTTCCTGAGATCCAGGACCAAGTTGTCTCCAAATAGAATCATAGAATCATAGAAAGGTTAG